ACGGAGATCAAAGATCGAAGACTAAATCACAGGTGGAGGCATCGATTTTAGACGGTTCAAAACCACTTACGCCGGAAAAGATGATGGCTGGAGTGCGATGTGTGTAAAACGGCGGTGGTTTCCATGAATGTGGTCGGAGTGTAAAATGACGGTGGTATCTACTGACGATGGCTTAAGGATGAATGGTTTTAGGGTTTTTGAAGAGTTTAGAGAAGAGAGACAGTAAAGGGAAGGTACGGTGGGTGGAGAGATGTGGTTGTGTATGATATGGGACCACATCTTTTTTTCTTTGTTAATTAATAATAATGATAATAACATAAAATTAATTGGAAAAGATAAGCATACAGAGTATTATGGTCATTTCAGATAAGACAAGGACTAATATTGCAACAAAAATGTGTATAAGGGACGAAGCTTGCATTTTTTAAACAAATGAAGGACGGTCCGAATTAATTTTTTGAAAATAAGGATTAAACGTGCTTTTCAGCACCTGCACGAGGGACGATTGGTGTAATTTACCCTTTAATCGATTAGGTATTTTCGAACCTATATTGAATTGTATATACATTTTAACCGGTCACATGCGTAACTTATAAACCACAATGACGTCGTTTGAACTTTTCAAAAGATGAATAAAAATAAAGAATCTTATCAAACTAGGCCAAAACTATAATTTACCCATTTATTTATGGGATAATGACTTGATAGGGTAAGATACTCTTTGAAATGTACACATTTAGTCAGTATTCTTTTTTTTTTGTAAAATAAACCCTTATACTTTATTAATATGTACACATTAGGTCCTTTTCACAGGATTCTACAGGTTTTGCTAACGTGGAAGGGTTTATTTTACAAAAAATAAAAAGAATAAGGACTAAATGTGTACATTTCAAAAAGTATCTTACCCTATCAATTCATTTTCCATTTCTTTTATTTTTTTGAAATGAAACACCCAGGTGGCATCCACATATCCACAACGAGATTTTTCCAACTTTTATTCATCATGATAAAAAGGGAGAACCCCGATCTCCGACAACTCCTTTGTGTGTTCCTACACATCACTGGTAGTAAGGAGGAATGATGGCAAAAACAACAAGGTCGAAGGGGGAGGCAGGAGGAAGTAGAGACGGTAATTGGCGGCGAGGAGCTGCTCTGGTAGCCCCCTCATCGATTATTTCTTCTTTTTCTGGTAACATATCTCAAAGATGGAGGCAAAGAGAGACAGATCGGAGAAATACAACAAGTAAAGGGTGTTTGATTGTTGTTGTTCGACCGGAAGGAAGAGAGACGAGAAAAAGAAGGGTCGCTGCCCTTTACTTGTTGCTGGAGGATCACCCACCTCCGATGACTAAGCTAATTAATTGCTATTTAGTGCCACTTGTGCTTCCACATCAGCAAAACCTGTAGAATCCGGTGAAAAGGACCTAATGTGTACATATTAATAAAGTATAAGGGTTTATTTTACAAAAAAAAAAAAAAAAAAAAGAATAAAGAGTAAATGTGTACAATTCAAAAAGTATATTACCCTATCAAGTCATTTTCCCTAAAAGAAAATTCGTATATGACCGGTATATCGGGTATAGCCGGTCACAATGATTGCATTGTTACAAAAAATGAAGTATAAGGGTTTATTTTACAAGAAAAAAAGAATAAGGACTAAATATGTACATTTCAAAAAGTATATTACCCTATCAAGTCATTTTCCATTTATTTATTTTAGACAGGAAATCAAAAGTTACATGTGAAGCCCTAAGCTTTTTATAACTTGCTATATCTTTTTATAATAAATTTCACTAATGATCCCTATGATTTGGGGTAATTTGCGTGTTTGGTCCCTAACTTATTTTTTTTGTTCGGAAATTCCCTACAGTTTGTTTTTGTTACGGGCTTGGTACCTACTGTTTGTTTTTGTTACGCACTTGGATCATGACTTACCTAAAATGATTATAATTTAAATAGGAAAAAAATATGGGATAAGTAAGATAAGGTGATGAGGATGTGGTTGAGGGTGTATTTATTTAAATAAATTAAAAAATCAAGGGTAAAATAGTCTTTTTAGGTAAGAGAGGGATCAAACGCGTAACAAAAACAAACAGTAGGAACATTCCGAGTTAAAAAACAAGTTAGAGACCAATCGCATAAATTACCATAAACCATAAGAAGTAGGAACATTCCGAGTTAAAAAATAAGTTATGGATTAAACGTATAAATTAAGGAAGCATTTGTGTAATCTACTCATCTTTTTAAAGTAGTAAAATTTAGTAAATATCAACTTTTTCCCATGCATTTTTGTATTTTGTGGTTGGACTTGGACATATATTTTTCTAAAATTCACGATGCGTTAAACTGAGTTTGTTATTTAAATCATTATCTAAGTTTTGTTAATTTATTTTTTCTTATAGTTAAGGAAGTATTGTTTTAAATCTAAAATATATGTTAGTTCAATTTTAGAGATTCCAAAAATTTAAATCAAATAATTAACAATAAGTATAAGAATTTGGATTTATCTAGTTCAAGTTATATGACTTTCGAGTGGCTCAATCTTTAAATATAAGTTTAATGTTTTCTTTGGGAGATATTTAGTTTTCGAGTAAACTGTATTGTCTTTTTGTAAGTTTAAAATCATGATACGGATGGAAGATACATATGGAAGATACATATTTATCTCAACTCATCCAACTCATTTGTCATACCAGCTTTTTTCTCTCCATTCTTTTCTACTCTTTAATCCAACAACACATGCAAACTCATCTCTTATCCCTTCCAACTCATTCAATTTATTTAAAATTAATACAAGCAACTCATTCAATTTATTTAAAATTAATACAAGCTAATTAAAGCCTTACAAAACTAACTAAAAAAATAGAGTAAATTATACAAATGGTCCCTATGGTTTTGGTAATTTGCGCGTTTGGTCCTTAACTTATTTTTTAACTCGGAAAGTCCTTATTGTTTGTTTTTGTTACGGACGTGGTCCTTACTGTTTGTTTTTGTTACACACTTGGTCCATATCTTACCTAAAATGATTATTATTTAAATAGGAAAAAATGATGCGATAAATAAGATAGAGTGATGAAGATGAGGTTGAAGGTGTATTTATTTAAATAAATTAAAAAATCAATGGCAAAATAGTCTTTTTAGGTAAGAGAGTGACTAAACGCGTAACAAAAACAAACAATAAAGACACTCCGGATTAAAAAAATAAGTTAGGGATCAAACGTGTTAATTACCCTAAACCATATGGACCATTCATGTAATTTACTCAAAAAATATTAAAAACATACAAAGTGAATTAAAATCACATAAAATTATTTGGATATAATTATCTATTCTAATAAATGAAAATTTATTTTGCCACGTGTCAATCTCTTATAAGTTTTGACACTTGTCATTTTGTGGTATTTTTAAAATAAATAATATCCAAATATCAATTTCTATGTTTTTTTAATTATTAAATTTAAAAAGCCACATAATACATATAGTTATATAAGTAAGTATTAAATGTAATAAATATGATCATAAATTGCAATAAATATGTTTTTTTTTCTTATTTTAAAATTTAATTTTAAAAAATACTTAATTTTATATTTTAATATTTAATTTTTCTATTTAACTCATGTAATATATGAATCTCACACCTAATTTATGTATAAAATAAAACTATAAAAAACATCTAGACGATACCGGACTCATCCTCCTACCCGAAACTAATCATTCGAATTTAAATGTTTTAAAATAGACGAGTGACTCTCTCAAATGAGAGGTCATGGGTTCAAGTCTTACTAGGAGACATAGGTGGTGTTTAAGATTTAGTTAGGAGTAGGATATTTTGCTGTTAAAAAAAAAAAAAAAAAAAAAAACTATGAACTTAACCATCTTTATATCTAAATCTATGGATTGGTTCAAAATCTTTAATTCTCCATTAAAAAAAAAATACATATTATATGTGTTTCTAGTATTTTCCACGTGTTTATGACATTTTCCTCCATAAATATTTTTATGTACTTTGTATCTTTCTCCCTTCTAGATGTTTATAACTGAAAACGGGGTTTGATCTACATGTAGATTTCCTCATTGTTTTGATTTAAATATAACTTAAAAAAGTTGTTTTTTTTTAAAACAATTATTTGAGTTTATAGGGAGAATTTCATATATGCCCTTCTTAAACCTCAAAATATCATATTTGCCCAGCTTAATTTCTTAATATCATATTTACCCTTCATAAACATTCAAAATATCATATTTGCCCAAATCCTTTTTTATAATGTTTTTAATATTTTATAATCATTTTTTATAACTTAAAATTACTATAATAATTAAAAAATTTAACGATATTATCCTTACGTCTATGATAATGGAACGTGAACTTCTAAATTGTTGGAATGTCGTCCTCTTGACAAACAAAAATATTCATTTTCAACCCTCTCTATGGAATGTATATTTTGATTGTTTAGTTTTTTTTGTTGATTATGTTGTAGATGAAGAATATTTTAGATATTACCATTGATATTTTGATGTTTAAAAAGTACATATACGATATTTTGATATTTAAGAAGGGTATATATGATATTATGATGTTTAAAAAGGACATATATGATATTTTGAAATTTTATGAATGGTAAATATGATATTTAGAAATTTTATGAAGGGTAAATATGATATTTAGAAATTAAGTTGGGTAAATATGATATTTTGATGTTTAAGAAGGGCATATATGAAATTCTCCCGAGTTTATATTATATTTAACAAGAATTAATTTCCATGTCATATATCTATAATTTCAACAAATCACTAGGCTTAAATACAACTTATTAGTTACAACTAATAATAGAAAATACCAAAATATAAAATATATCAATAAATATGGTTATAAAATGATAACCATATTTGAAATGTGCGTTCAATAATCCACAGTATGTCGATGCTCTTATAAGTACAACGAGTGTCTGCATTGTTCATTTAAACGAAGAGAACAATTGGTGATTGTTGCTTTGCTATCAATGAGTTATACATCTGTAAAACGTGTATCAGAGTGCTTAATAAAGCCATTGCAGGACCTCTCACCGGAGGCAAAGCAGCCTTTGCACCTCACACCCCTCGAGCTGTTCGCCCTCAACGTCAACTACAGCCAAAAAGGTCTCCTCTTTCCAAAGCCACCACCATCGGAAAATCAAGATTTCTCCATAACCGCATACCTTGATGACCTCCGATACTCCCTCTCAGCCACCCTCGACCATTTCTACCTGCTCGCCGGCCGTTTGGCCACTAAAATAGAAGAAAACCCACCTTCATATGTCATCTACTTAGACTGTGAAAACAGCCCTGGCGTCAAGTTCATCTACGCAACGGTTGACGCTACCATATCAGACATCCTTCAGCCTGGCGACGTACCCGTGGTTGTTCGTTCGTTTTTTGATCTTAATAACGCCATTAGCTACGATGGCCACACGCTGCCATTGTTATCCATTCAAGTTACAGAGCTTGTCGATGGAATCTTTATCGGTGGATCCATCAACCATGTACTCGCGGATGCAGCCTCTTTCTGGCATTTCATGGGTGCTTGGAGTGAAATATTCAAATCCAAAGAAAAATCTTTTGTCTCAATCTCTCGACCTCCGGTATTAAAACGATGGGTCCTGCCTGGGTATGATCCTATTATCAGTCTCCCGTATACACACCACGATCAATTTATAGAAAGACTCGAAGCTCCACCACTTGTGGAAAGATTCTTCCACTTCTCCTCAGCCTCGGTCTCTAAACTCAAAGCAAAAGCAAACTCCGAATGCAATACTGATAAACTCTCAAGTTTACAAGCAGTGATCGCGCTTTTGTGGAGGTGCATTACCCGTGCCCGACGCCTATCAGACGACGATGAAACCAGCTCAAACTTGATGGTAGGTAACCGGCGGCGGATGGCCCCACCTTTGTCTAATGATTATTTTGGTAACCCAGTTGGTATGGTGAAGGGAACTGCAACAGTCAGGGAATTGATGACGAATGGGCTTGGTTGGGCGGCTTTCCGGTTACATGAAGCGGTGATGAATTACACTGATACAACAGTTAAGGAAAACATTGAGTCATGGATTAAAAACCCGTTCATATTTAAACGAAGTAAGATGAACGCTAAAAACCACATTATCGTTTTGAGCTCACCGAGGCTTGACATGTATGGGTGTGAATTCGGGCTGGGGAAAGCGTTGGCGGTTAGAAGCGGATGGATGAACAAGGACGACGGGACAATTACGATGTATCCCGGACGGGAGGGTGGTGGGAGCATGGATGTGGAAGTTTGTTTTGCTTCATCACAAACTATGATGGATCTTAATTCCGATGAGGAATTCATGGATGCTCTAATATAATAAGCAATAATGTCAAATATTCACGAATAAAAGTTCCATGTCTGCTGTGGACTGTGGGATCTTTGAAGCTTTTCCCTTTTGGAATCACTGACCGACGGTTTACGGCTTATGGTGTTGTCGTTTTGGTTTAATAATTTAATCTATTGAAGTTATAAGTTAATCAAGAGTGAATTATGCGGATGGTTTTTATGGTTTCGGTTAATTTGTGTATGTGGTCAATAACGTTTAACTCGGTCCTAAGGCTACAAGCCTACAATGAGTTATTCATGGGCATTGGCATGCCTTACGTGGCCTCTACAAGGTGAACTCGGCCTGTCTACGGAGTTCAAATCTCATTCATTTCCTCTAACTACCAATCAAAGGCTAACATGAAAACTTAAAATTTTCAAAAGAATTTTTCCTTTTTCAACAATATAAAATTCGTTCAACATTTTCAAATCTCATGTTCAACAATTGACATCAAACAAAACATATTCCAAGATCACAATAAAATCCTATGACTGTGTGTACGATCATACCGGTGCCTTCCCACGATCGTCACTAGTACCTGAAACACATAACACTGTAAGCATAAATGTTTAGTGAGTTTCCCCGAAATACCACATGCAACACATATTAATCACTCGAGACTATAATTCAGTATGACCCTTTGGTCAATGTGTATCAGTGGGACCCTCCAGTCTCATAACTTTGTGGACCCTTTGGTCCAAACTTTGTGGATCTTCCAGCCCTAACTCTGTAAACTCTGAATCATACATAGCACAAATCACATAGAAATCATATCATACATAAGCATACAAGATACTCTGTCACATAACTCTAATTACCACTCTAGGTAAAGTATAGTGAGAAGACTTACCTCAGGTAACTCAGTAAATCTCGAATTCGGCAATACTGGTCTAGCCTCCGCCTAATCACATGGAATAATTACTCTAATCAATACAACTCTCAAAGGCTAGACTAATCCCTCTCTATGTTCTCTCAGAAGGGTAAAATACCATTTTACCCCTCTTATGGCTCAAAGATCCAATCATTGACTAAACCCTAAAAGTCAACAAAAGTCAACCCTCTGGGTTACGCTGCGTGTACCAAATCTGTACGCTGGGCGTACCCGGCGACTTCACAGAAACGGGGAACGAGACCCCCTACACTGCGCGTACTGGGATTACGCCCTGCGTAAATCCTAGTTTCATACTCCTTTTGATTTTGGGTCTTAAATGGTTAAGATATATACTCATACTTCAAATCTGACTTCTCTAAGGTCATTTAATCCATAAAGTCGAAACCTTTAAGCCTTTGCATGGTTGTAAAGGTCACTAATCACTCTAACACCTTTCTTCTTTCCCCATAAAGCCTAGATCTCATGCATGGCTTAATATTCACGTCTAAGATTGGATTTTTATGAACCCACAACTCATAATACTTTAAAATATAGTAGATCTAAGCTTATAGAGACCTTTTGCTCATAAAGTCTCCACCTTAGGACCAAAAACCCTAAAAATTGGTCCATGAAGCACAAATCAGCATTAACAAGGAAAGCTCTGAGCTTTTTACCTCCAAGTGAAGCTCCTCCCTCTGTAGAACTCAGATCCAAGCTCACACTCCAACTTCTAGCCTCCACAAGAACCTCCTCTTCTTCTTCACTAACATACAAAGGCACTTTTTAGCTCAAGAACACTCACAAACTAGCTTGGAACGATAATATTGCTCTCCTAGGGTTTTTCTCTGAGGAATGGTGGCTGGGGACAAGGCCAACACATTCCCTTTATAGTCCACAAGCCACAATTAGGGTTTGCATCTGGGCCCGCTACGCCAAACGTACTTAGGCGAGTCCGCGTCCAACTTAAGCGCATGTGCGTACCCTTCAGTACGCCCAGCGTACTCATTTTCCATAACTTTCTGTTAAGGGTTAAATTTGACAACTTGGAAAAGAAGAAGGGTTTAAGAGATGCACCTGAATTTTGGGATGTTACAGTTCTCCACCACTAGAATCAGACTTCGTCCTCGAGGTCTCATGCCATAAACGACTCCGAATGCTGCTCCGACATCTCCAACTTTGGCTCCCAAGTTAGCTCGGACCCTCTTCGGTGTTGCCACTGGACCTTAACTAGGGGAACCTCCTTGTTCCTCAGAACCTTGATCCTCTGATCCATAATTACGACTGGCCTCTCAACGTAATCCAGTCTCGCATCTATTTAGATATCCTCCAGCGGCACTATTGCCATCTCATCGGCTATACACTTCCTCAACTGAGACATGTGGAAGGTATCATGAATGTGACTTAACTCAGCAGGTAGTTCTAAACGATATGCTACCTTGCCTACCCTCGCAATCACCTTGAATGGATTAATGTACCGGGGCCCCAACTTGCCCCTCTTCCTGAATCGGATCACTCCTTTCCAAGGAGATACCTTCATGAGCACGAAATCTCTAACCTGAAACTCGAGCTCGGATACTTTCTGGCGACTCTGAGCAGTCAACAACCTCAATCTGACCTACTGTATCTGCTCTATCATCTGAAGCACTATCTCAATGTTGTTCATCACTCGCTGCCCTACCTCTCCCCGGCAGATGGGAGTCCGACACCTCCTCCCATACAACAACTCGAAGGGAGGCATACCAATGCTTGAATGGTGGCTGTTGTTTTAGGAAAAGTCAGCCAACGACAAGTACGTGTCCCAACTTCCTCTGAAGTCCAACACACATGCTCGGAGCATGTCCTCGAGCATCTGAATCGTCCGCACACTCTATCCGTTCTTCTGTGGATGGTAAGCGGTACTGAAATGCAGCCTCGTGCCCAACTCCTCATGGAACTTCTTCCAGAACCTGGAAGTGAAACATACATCTCAATCTGAAACAATCGAGATCGACACTCTATGTCGCGATACAACCTCTCTCACATACAACTTTGCTAGCCTCTCAGCGGAAGAACTCTCACTGATAGCAAGAAAGTGAGCGCTCTTCGTCAGCCGGTTGACGATCACCCAAATTGCATCGACACCCCTCGCGGCCCTCAGCAATTTGGTGATAAAATCCATAGAAATTTGTTCCCACTTCCACTGGGGAACCTCAAGTGGCTACAACTTGCCATGCGGATGCTGGTGCTCGGCCTTAACCTTGTGACAAGTCAAGCACCTCTCAACAAACCACGCCACATCCCTCTTCTTACAGGGCCACCAATACTCTCTCTTCAGATCCAAATACATCTTAGTGGCCCCGGGATGGATCGAAAACCTCAATTTGTACGCCTCCTCCATCAGGATAGTACGTGCACTGCCTGCAAACGATACCCAAATCCGACCCTGAAAGGTCACAAGCCCTCGGCTATCGGTAACGAACTCAGATATCTGCCCAATCACCCACTCTCTCTTTCGGTTCTCTGGCCTCGCGGCCTCTACTTGGGCCTCTCGTATTGTATCCAACACTTGGAGTCATTACTGTCACCCTCATACAAATGTCTCGTATCAGGGCACTCTTCGCCCTCCGGCTCAAGGCATCGACTACAACGTTATCCTTGCCCGAATGGTATAGGATCTCACAATCATAATCCTTTACCACATCCAACCATCTCCTCTGGCGCATATTCAGGTTGGGTTGATCCATCAAATACTTCAAGCTCTTGTAGTCTGTGTATATAGTACACTGAACCCCATACAAATAGTGACACCAGATCTTGAGGGCGAACACCACTGCCCCCAACTCCAGATCGTGGGTGGGATACCTCGTCTCATGAGGCTTCAGCTGCCTCGATGCATATGTTATCACGTGCCCTCTCTACATCAGCACCACACCCAACCCTGAGATCGATGCGTCACAATATACCACAAAATCTTCCATCCCCTCCGGAAGAGTTAACACCGGGGCTTCGGATAATCTCTGGCAAAGTGTCTCGAATTAGGCCTGCTGCTCAGGACCCCAACTAAAAGCCACGCCCTTCCGGGTCAACCTGGTGAGAGGAACATCAATTTTGGAGAAATCCCTGATAAACCTTCTGTAATAGTTGGCCAACCCCAGAAAACTCCTGATCTCGGTGGGGGATCTTGGCACCTTCCATCTAATCACAACCTTAATCTTGGCCGGGTTGACTAATATCTTATTCTAGTTGACGAGGTTCCCTAAGAACTGGACCTCTCATAACCAGAAATCACAATTGGAGAATTTGGTGTACAACCTCTTTGATCTTAGAACTCTAAGGATCTCCATCAAATACTCCTCATGCTGCTCTCTGGATCTCGAATATACCAATATATCATCAATAAACACAATCACCAAGCGATCTAACATCAGCCTACACACCCTGTTCATGAGATCCATGAACGTTGGCGGTGTGTTGGTGAGCCCAAAAGGCATCACCACGAACTCGGAATGCCCATAACGAGTCCTGAACGCCGTCTTCTGGATATCCTCATCACGCACTCGCATATGATGATATCCAGACCTCAAATCAATCTTGGAGAACCAAGATGTTCCTAGCAACTGATCGAACAAATCATCGATCCTCGGTAAGGGGTAACGGTTCTTGACCGTTAACTTGTTCAACTCCCGGTAATCAATGCACATTCGGTGTGAGCCATCCTTTTTCTTGACAAAAAGGATCGACACTCCCCAAAGCGAGCTACTCGGCCGAATAAACCCCTTCCCCAGTAGCTCCTGAAGCTGCAAGGACAACTCCTGCATCTCTGGCGGCACAAGGTGATAGGGTGCCTTGGCTATCGGAGCCGCACCCGGCATTAGGTCAATCCGAAACTCCACTTGCCTCTCAAGAGGCACACCCGGAAACTCCTTGGTAAAACCCTGATATTAGTTGATTTGGTCTAACCACCAGGTTCTTATGAGATCCAATAATAGGGCTACCTATGTGTAGCCCTACAGAAACATGCATTGCTCGACCGCAATATCATATATCATAAGGTCCAACCCTTAGCTCATCAGTCTCTACCGGTTCGATCCAAAATTCCCATAACCACCCAAGCTCGCCCCCGAATATCTGATCTGTCAAT